ATTGCTTAAAAATACAATATAGCAGTCCTAATATATACCTAAGCCTATTACAAAATGATTATAGCACTAATCTGGCTTCCTGTGGACCCCAATTCACACAGAAATCTACAAACTGGACCCTCTGCCACTCCCCATTTCTTAAATACTAAAGATGGAGGAGGGATGTGAGAAATGGGATTATGCTGCATCTGCCTAAGAAATCAATGTTTAGGTGTTCATTACAACCCGACTCCTTCAACTTGGTTCACAGCCTCAGTTTACACCATAACCGTCAGAAGAGCAGTAACTCCAACACTTGTCAGAATCTATCAGAATGTCTCACACACATACTGCTTAGTTCTGTTTGTCATTCTGTGTTCCCCAGGTCAGCCTTCTCTGCCAGAGCCACCCCAAACAAAACAGAGCTAAGAGCTTTCTGCATAGCTTTACTAAGAAAAAAAGCAACCATGTTGTAAGTTAGGTATTTCTGTGGTCTGTTTTTGCTTAGAGAGGAAGATACAGCAGAGGCTGGCAGGGGAGTCATTACCAGGAGACATCTGTACCTTTTACATTATCTATTACATTGTAATAGATGGCTGTTACTTCCTTAGCTGGGTGACATACATTTGTAAGAGATAATAAAGTGCTCAGAGCAGCGCTTCACAATAGGATGCACTCAGTACCATGAACCAGCATTCCTGATGTCAGTACTCATTACTCTCTCGTCTCAGAGCAGTATTCTTTTCATTTTAAAAGCCTAGTTTTAGAAAATGTTTATCCCAGGTCTCATTTACACGAGCCTTGTAAATTTCTTAGAAAATATTAATAACTCACAGCTAACCACATCATAAAAACTCATTATTCATCCAAATCAAAGAGTAAAATTAAATGGGGGGTGTTAACAAAGAAAAGTATAAATTGAAATTTAAAGGAATTTTAAGCATCTTATTACTAGCCAAAGGTACTTCTGTTTAAATGACGTCTCTCTCTGACACACCTGCATGGTGTCTCCTGTGTTGAGAGCCTAATAACCCCTCAGTGGTGATCCGATTCAGCAGAGAATCTGATGAGCTAAGTGGTCACTAGCTCCACGCTTTCCCTGCCGCCCCCAGTCAGCTGCCTTTCAGAATAATCCCCGGAATTCCTTGTCTACTGGGGCTGGGCTCTGATCATCCCATATCAGGACCCTAAGTCGTCCCTGCCTGGCCCTTAACTCTGACCAAATTCTCCCCATCAGCTGACACTGGATCCATTCCTCAAAACCAAACCAGTAAACCGACATGGAATGTCTACTGCCTTCCATAAATTACCCTTTGTACCAAATTTAACACGTTGAATCTCCCTCCCTACACTCACAACTGCTTGACAGAGACTGACTCACAAGGTGGCTCCAATACCCTAAATACATAATCATCTTCCAGTACATCAGTAATCCCTCCCCAATTGCTGAGCCCAATATTAGCAAGCCCAGATGAGGATAAGGAAGCACACTCACTCTCACCCTTCAAGTGTGTTGAGTTCAGTTAATCCTGTAGGAACTTCTCACCTTGGGAGCGGAGCTTACATCTGACTCCCCTTGGCCGCCCCCAGACTTAGGCACATGGAGAGTCTCTACTGTCAGTGCAGCAGCCACCAATCAACATTTGCATACAGGCTCAGGGTGGAACCTACCCTAAAAGCCACTCTGTTCCCTTGATCTTGAACAGTCTTTGGGAAACAACAAAATGTATAATATAATATAAAAACTATAAAGGGCTCTGAAATTTGGTTACGAAACTCTGGCAGAACAAAACAGGGTGAAGTGGAAGGCACTTCTACCAGCTTCTGCAGCCAAGTCCAATCAGCAAAGGAAAATTCAGGAGCCAGAGCATCGTGAGACTCTTTGGCGGTCTCCCCAGGGGACGGCAATACCCTTGGGAAGTTTATGAAACAAAACGAAACCCTTCCGACCAGCAGCGGAGGTCCCTCCTACAATAACCTCACGGCCTGCACCTACATAAAGTTTTACAACTTTCAATGTGCTGTTACATACTTTATCCCCTTTAATCTTCAAATCTATCCGCCAGGAAAGGGAAACTTTAGAGTGCTGATTTATTTATTTATTTTTTAAGTTAAAAAAGGCAGTGTAACAGTGGCGAGAACACCAGCTGTGCTACAAGTCCAGCCGTCTCCTACCACACAACCTTGAGAAAAATCACTTTATCTAAGGTCATTCGCTTCCTCCTCGGTAGATAAGCACGATGATTAATACCTGCTCTACAGAATGCCTGAGCGAAAATCTGGGAACAACACCAGCAAGTTCAAAATGCAGAACCAGAACGCGATTTCAGATATGCTAACATCCACGTCTGTGCTTTTTTCCCACTGCTCCACTCAACAGGAAAGGAAGCTCTCATTAAAACAGTCCCAACTGTCTTAAAAGCAAGCGAACAAAAAACCCGAAACACATGATTCTTGTTACACTCTGCAGTATTTTTCAGCATTCATTTCGACAATAAGCACAAATGGGGTGGGTGGGTGGGGCATCTGGGTATGCGAAGTTCGTGGGTTAATCTGGCCTTTCCTACTCTTCAAACAGTAAGACTTCATTGGGATTACTAGTGGGGAAGGGAGAGAAAAGAAGAAAGGGCAGAGCCACGTTCCCACAAGACAAATAAGGGAGCAGGGAAACTCTAGATCCAGCTCAGACTGCATTTCTCAAGGACTTAGCCATGCCGTTCTTACTGCAAGGAAATAGGAGAAAATCTAAATATTAATGTACTCTCGAAGCCACAGCGAAAGGCTAGGCAAAGAGGAATAGAATAAATCTAAAAATTACAGAGACTGCAAGAAACGCGGTTATGAAAGGTGGATAATCATTCTGGAACTGAATTCTTAAAACTACACAGTGAGGCCGAAAGAAAAAACTATAAATAAATGTCAATCGCTAACTAGAAAAGCCAATTAGCCTTTACCCTTAAAACCCTGGCCCCCGCTCCGGGCAGAGTCAGCACTTCCACGGGTTACTCATTCACAAGCTAACTTCTGCTAGAGCCCAGTCGCAGGTTGAAAGTGGATTCCGCCGCCGTTGGGTGAGAGGCAAACCCGGGCCGGCAGCGGCTGACCACAGGTCTATAACCCAGCAACACACAGAACCCCCACCCCCGCCCGAGAGGCTCGGGACCTCACCTGTCCACAGGCGAGCAGCCAGACCGGAGTGGGGAAGAGGCAACCCCCGCCTCCGCCCGAGACCTCACCTGTCCACAGGTGAGCAGCCGGACCGGAGCAGGGCCGCCCCCGAGCGCCCGCGAAGCCAGGCCGAGCCCCAGTGTCCCCTCCCCGCCGGTCACCACGCAGCCTCGAGTGTTACATCACCCGCCCAGCGTGACGAGGCAGCCTGTCCGACCAGGCCCGAGCCCGGGCCTCGGCCCCAGCCGCCATCAGCGGGGCGGGGCGCCCACGGGCCGTTTCCCTTCCACCCACCTTCGGAAGGAAGAGGCGGGGGAGCCCGGGCCGAGGCGCCCCGGCGTCTACGCTCGGCCGGCGGGGGAGGAGCCAGCACCCGGAGAGCGCGGAGAGCAGCCGGGCTGACCAGGGGCCCCCGCCGCCGCCCCGGCGCAGAACGGGGGCCTCGCGCGCGCCCCTCCCCCGCGCCGGTGCGCATGCGCGGCGTTACCCCCCCCCCCAGCTCCCCTACCCGCCCGGGTCTCCCGAGTCTCGTCGCCCCCGTTCCCTTAGCGTGTAGTCTCAAAACAGAGCCTACGCCCACTTTCGCTCGGACGTTCCTAGCTCCTTTTCCGTTTCTCGCTCCCGGCTTGCCCACTGCTAGGTTCGGCCGTACCTTCTCCACCCGCCTCGCAGGAGCCTACGAGCTCTTCTAACACCGGATGTGCTCTGACCCTCCCAGCGTTGGCTCCAGACTCTTTACGCAGCATCCGCCCCTCGACAGAAGCCCCGCCCCGCGCCCCCCCTCGAGGCCGGTTCTCATTGGCCGTTGGCTACATTTTTGTCTTTCCATTGGCTGTACGTGCATAAACAACGGCCGCTTACCTCAGAGTCATTAGCTAGCTCCCTTGTCGATCAAGGCTCTGACCACGAACCGGTGTCGTAGCGCAAGGTGTCCGCCTTCTTCCGCGGTAGTAAAGAAGGACTGGTGTCCGCCACTGCCTCTAGTGGAGAAAGTGAAGCAGGGCGGGCCTTGCCTGGAACACCTGGGGAGTCATGGACGCCCGTGACGCGCTATGGGGTAGCGCTACATGCATGTAGCTTCCCATGTTACATGCTACATGCTCGTGTTTCTCAGATTACAGGGAGGACGCGATTCAGACCACACACAGAAAATCGCTCTCACGGGGGCCGCTTTACTGAGAAGCTAGGGGACTTTAAGCCTCAGAGAACGCTTAGACTCAACAAATTCTCCCCAAAAAAGCGAGGAGGAAACGGCAGCCCCAGTCCAGCTTCAGACGGCGAGGACCCCACCCCGGGGGTCATCCGGGAAGACCTAATAATGGGGGCCCTGGGTTCTGCGGGGACCGCCTCCCCAGCCGCCTGCCTGGGGGAGGTGGGCTCTTCAAAGCCACTTGTACCCTGCACGCTGGGCGTGGGGTGCGGCGGGTGGAGCTCGAAGGGCTGGAGCTCCCTCTAGGGCTTAATCCCAACCACTGTGCAAGGACTTAGAGTAAGGAGTTGCAAAGGTGATAAGAAGTTCCTAAAGCTATCGATACATTTTTATTTTAATAATTTTTATTTTATTTGTCTACCGTCTCTATAGAAATAGATTAAAAAGTCATACGAAGAGGCAGAGGAAGAAAGATTCGTGGCGGTTATTAGGCAGTTAATGTTATTTTTGCGAAGTCTGGTGTTTTCCGGCATTTTAAAACCTGTGATGATTTCTTATTCTAAATCAATATTGACTTTATTACATAATTTTGTCTTTGTTACATAATTTTATTTACTCTAAATAAATATTGACTTCATTACATAATTGTAGAGTCCCACACTCGTTTGCTTCAGGCCAGTTCAGCTCCTCATTTTCCAGATGACAGAACAGGACCACAGACAGAAAAGTTTCTGGTTTAAAAAAAAAATTGAAGAAATTCAGACTAGGCACTTGATCGATGGAGATTCGATCAGAATCCAAGGTGCAGGATGTCACCTTCTGGGATAGAGTGGTTTCACTGGAGAATGCAGATGTGTGATTCTTGGAACACAAACCTACAAATGCGATAAATGTAAGTTTATTTCCTATGTTGCAAGTTAATATTTATTGTTTTCATGTTTCTTTTTAGAAAGGTTATTAATTTTTCTAATATTTACTCTTTTTAAAGAAAGACTTATTTATTTGAATGACAGAGTTACAGAGAGAGAGAGAGGAGTTCCATCCACTAGTTCACTCCCCAAATGACTGCAATGGCTAGAGCTGGGCCAATCCGAAGCCAGGAACCAGGAGCTTCTTCTGGGTCTCCCACGTGGGTGCAGGAGCCCATGGACTTGGACCATCTTCCACTGCTTTCCCAGGCCATAGCAGAGAGCTGGATCAGAAGTGGAGCAGCTGGGACTAGAACTGGCACCCATATGTGATGCCGGTGTCGCAGGCAGAGGATTAACCTACTGCACCACAGTGCCAGCCCCCTAATATTAACTCTTAACTTCATTCCACAGAACAGAAGAACATATATTATCAGACTGTCATGGGGTTTCTCTGCCCAACCCTAACTTCTGCCGTGTTTCTGGGTTGTTAACCTTCCATTAGGCTAATACCGAATCTCCTACCTAGAACAATAGGTTACTGAATTTAGCCTGTGTCGGTGGACAGGCTTACTCATTCACTGGACACTGATGATGCACATGTTTTAGGTACTTGTGGACACATCACCATAAAAATACAAAGATCTCTGGCCTCATAGACATTACATTCATTCTTGCCAGAGGAGACAAACTGAACAGGAAACATCACAAATGAATGAATTATATAGGGTGTTAGTGTAGAAGTGCAAAGGGATAGAGTAATTGGGATCAGACGTTCTGAGAAATTACGAGGCAGTCCAACTGGAAAGCAAGGAAGGATTAAACAATGCAGGAGCTAAAGGGAAAAGTATTCCAGGTGGAGGAACAGCAAGTGTAGAGACTTTGGCAGGGGTCTGCCTGGCACAGCCAGATGGTAAGGAGGGTAGTGGGCCTGGTGTGCTGGGGGATGGGACAGAATAGCAGGCCAGGATTTGTGTCCCTCCCCCCAACCCCTGCTGAAAACTCAGGTTGAAATGTAATCCCGGGGCCCGGCGCTGTGGTGTAGTAGGTATAACCGCTGCCTGCAGTGCCAACATCCCATATGGACACCAGCCGCTCCATTTCTGATCCAGCTCTCTGCTATGGCCTGGGAAAGCAGTAGAAGATGGCCCAAGTCCTTGAGCCCCTGCACCTGCCTGGGAGACCTGGAAGAAGCTCCTGGCTCCTGGCTTTGGGTCAGCACAGCTCTGGCTTTTGCAGCCAATTGGGGAGTGAACCAGCAGATAGAAGACCTCTCTCTCTCCCTTTCCTTCTCTCTCTATGTAACTCTGACTTTCAAATAAACAAATTAATCTTTAAGAAAAAAAGAAAAAGAAATGTAATCCCCATTGTGAGGTGTTAAGAGGGTGGAAATTTCATCTGATGCTTGGGCGTAGGGGTGGGGCCCTTGGGTTGTGCATAGGATTAGATGAGGTCACTGGGTTGAAGGCCTGTGATTGAGTACCAGGAACTCTGTGGGAAGACGGAGAGTGACCGGGACATGTGTTGACCCCGCCTCTTGCCATGTGGTGCCCTGTGCCACCTTGGGACTCTGCCAGTGAGAATGCCACTGCCAAGTGTGGGCCCTAAACCTTGGACCGGCATTGTGAGCCAAAGTAAACCTCTTTTCTTTGTCATTTACGTAGCATTTTGTTGTTAGCAAGAGAAAACAGATGGACATGCAGGGAGCTAGTGTGGGAGGAGTAGATGGTGTAGGGCCTTGAAAGATTTGGGATGGGGCCAGCACTCTGGTATATTGGGTAAAGCCGCCACCTGCAGCGCTGGCATCCCATATGGGCGCCGGTTCAAACCCCTGCTGCTCTATTTCTGATCTAACTCTCTGCTATGGCCTGGGAAAGCAATGGAAGATGGCTCAAGTCCTTGGGCCCCTGCACCTGCATGGGAGACCCGGAAGAAGCTCCTGGCTCCTGGCTTTGGATTGGCGCAGCTCTCTGGCCATTGCAACCATCTGGTGAGTGGACCAGCAGATGGAAGACCTCTCTCTGCCTCTCTGTAACTCTGCCTTTCAAATAAATAAATATATATATAAAAAAAAGATTTGGGATGACTTTCACTTTTTTTGTTTTGGGGACCTGTGCAACCCTGCAGGATTTGAGCAAAGGAGATTATCTAGCTTGCTTTATTACAGGGATACCGGCTACCACTGGAAAACAAGCTGCGAGTGAAATCAGAGATGACTCCTTAAAATCTACACAAAATGTGGCCCTTTAAAGTTCCCCAGAAGCGCTATCTGGGGTGCCACATATGCTACCGGAATTCAGGGTGCCATACGATTTCACCATATGCTTACTAATAAATCCCCAATATTAATAAGCCCAAGAGGGTTCTTGCCTAATATTTAGAGAAGAATTCTAAATACCAGCGCAGATAAACGAGGTAGCATGGTACATTTTAGGCTTTTATTTAGTGTGAAAGGTGCATAGGAGAGTGAGGGCTTTATTGAGAGAGAGAGGTAAATCTGGGTTCATACCGAGCACCAGGAACCAGCCACGTGGAGGAGCATCTAGACCAGGAAGCCTAGGGCACGGGTGGCCCGAAGGCCATGTGCCCTGGAGGCGCAGGGCTACAGCAAGCCCCCTCCTGGCAAGAGGCCAGGGAAGAAGAGAAGGGCGGGGACACACTGTGTCCCAGGCTTTTGACCGGCTTCCAAAGGGGAGTGGTTAATTAACCTGATTGGCTGATGGGCACCCAGGTGTGGCCAGGTAGGGCATGAGGTCACACAGGGGCATGGCGAAGGCATGGTCTTCCAGCTCACAAACCTAATCAATTTTAACCTATATGCCTGCCTACTTCACAAGGGTTCACAGGTAGAAGCAGAGCCGTTACCAGTCTGGAAGCAAAGTGGAAGTGGTGCAGGCACTGGGGGATAGGAAGAATTTACTCTATTGTCGAGATAAACCCAGTGGGATTTCCTGCCAGATTGGATGTGGGATTGCTGGGTTTTGGCCTCAGGGATTATTTATCTATTGCTCCCAAACTTTGTGGCCTGAACCAGGAGTCATTGATTGTGGGTTAGGAATTTGTGAGCTGGGCATTTCAGTCCCCAGGGGCTGCAGTCACCCCAGGCTTGACTAGGACTGAGGGGACTACTTCCAAGCTGGGTGTTAGTAGGAAGCCTTAGACCCTCCCCCTTGGCTGTTCCAATGTCCTCACAGCAGGAGGGCCAGCTTGGCCGAGAGCAAGCAATCCTAGTGACACATGGAGGAGCTCTTTTTTTTTTTTTCTTAAGACACCTGATTTGCATCCAGATCCCTGCCTGAGTGCTGTGCCTCAGAGGCCTCAGGCCATGGGAAGTGTTCCGGAAATTTCTCAATTCTCTCTGTAGTTACCTGAGAGCAGCTGGGGCCATTGGGTGCCTCAAAGCTGAGGTCAGACCAGGCTCTGCAGGAGCCCTCGTCCCATTTTCTCTCCTTCACAACATCCTCTGATCCCAGGACACCAGAGGAACTCTGGAACTCATGCCTGTAGGGTCTTCCGGCTGTGTGAGCAAGCCTCAATTCCAACTGGCCAACAAGTTTCTTTTCTTTCTTTTTTTTTTTTCCCAAGATTTATTTGAAAGCAGAATAACAGGCAGGATGAGACAAAGAGAGATCTTCCATCTGCTGGCTTGATTTCCCAAATGGCCACAACGAGTCGGGAGCTTGGAACTTCAATTGGAGCTTCCACACAGGTGACAGGGGTCCACCTGCTGCTGCTTTCCCGGGCCTGTGAGTAGGAAGCTGCATGGGAAGAGGAGCAGCCAGCACTCAGACTGGGCTCCAATACAGGATGCCAATGTGGCAGGCAGCAGCTTAGGCTGCTGGTCCACCACGCCAGCCAGACCCACAAGCACTTCTTTTGCAGCACAGCGTAAGGCTGGGTCTCCAGAACGCTGCTGGCTGACATCCTGATGGAGGGTCAAACCCAAGATGAGGTCAGGACCGCAAGCTACCAACAGTCCTCCCCCAACCCTTGGGCCCAAGCCACATGTTTGGGTCCCCAGGTCAGCCTTCCTCTGTCCAGGTTCTGACAAGGGAGCCACCTGTGGTCCCTAGCACTGAGGACAATAAGGTGGCAGTGGGCACCTTTTTTTTTTTTTTTCAAAATATTTATTTATTTATAAGTCAGAGTTACACACAGAGAGAAGGAGAGGCAGAGAGAGAGAGGTCTTCCATCTGCTGGTTCACTCACCATTTGGCTTCCACAGCCAGAGCTAGGCTGATCCAAAGCCAGGAGCTTTTTCTGGGTCTCCTACGAGGGTGCAGGGACCCAAGGACTTGGGCCATCTTCTACTGCTTTCCCAGGCCATAACAGAGAGCTGGATTGGAAGTGGACCAGCTGGGACTAGAACTGGTGCTCATATGGGATGTCGACACTGCCAGTGGCGGCTTTACCCACTACACCACAATACTGGCCCAGCAGGCACCTTTGATCAATACTCCCACCACCACCCCCCTACACAGGCCCCCTTGGCAGTCACCCTGCTCCCTCTGAAGACCCCATGACCTGTGTCAGGGAGTCAGCCCTTTAAGGCAGTCCCACCTCTCTCCTCCAAAGTCATTTCCAGGTGCCTTGGAGACTGCTGCTTCACAGTACCAGGGGCCCTCTCAGTGCAGGTCCTCTTGTTTCCGACTGAGGTGGTGATGCAGTACTCTGTCCCTTGTCGGTCTTAAATCATGCCAAAGGAGATACGCAGAAGTAAGATCACGCCTCTTGCTGCACCCATGGGCCAGTCTCCTAACTTTCCTTTGAAAGAGGGGTGTGACCAACATGGAAAGAAATATATGGTCTAGGAGTGCTGTCATGTTGGGTTACAGAGGACAACAGATGTTCTGTGTGTGATAGAAGATTCTGGATGAGGGACGGGCATTGTGCAGTGGTTAAACCACTGTTTCAGATGTCTTGTGGACTTTAGCTTCCTGCTAATGCAAACCCTGGAATGAAATGATGATGGTTCAAGTCTTTG